ACACACACACACACACACACACACACACACACACACACCCTTGCACTTGCAGCAAACCGAGGACTTTGTATTGACTTCCATTCATTTTTGTAACTGTATTATATGCTCAGACATTTCTCCCAACCATTACTAGTCTGTTCCTAACTTGAACCAAAACTTAATTCACACCAAACCTCTAGCCCAGAGGTGCCCAAAGTGGGGCCCGCGGGCCAAGATTGGCCCGCCAAGCCATTTGATTTGGCCCACCAGCAGTTGTCCTGGCTGATAGGTTGTAATCTCCTGTCTTATGTAAAAACAACATATTTCCACTTAATCTTTTCAACCATTGGTCCAAACTATATAAAATATGATGCAGTAGATTTAACTCAATATTCAACATAAAATAGAAGTAACTACAATATATATTAAGGTTAGATTTAAGCACACATCTAGATTTGCACCCTTTATAAGACCAAAACTACTCAAACTTTAATTTATGAAAAGTTCCATAAGTCATTAATGCCTGAACATARGTCAGATTTTCTCCACATCCATGGGCTGAAAAAGCAAAAAATAAATTTAAAAAATGTGGSCCATCACACTGGCTGCTAGCTTAATCATAAAAAAATAAATAACTTTACTTAAGAAGTATTTGCATGTCATGTATTATATGCATTTGTCCCTCGGCCCTCAGACTGATTTTAATCTGGTCCTCCTAAAGAAAATGTTTGGGCAGCCCTGCTCTAAACCTATCACAGAGCTGCACTGAACAGGTCCTCACTTTATATCAAAGAGCCCAATGATGGTAACCACAGTGTAAATGGTCCTCACTCTGTAGTAGAAACAAGTACACACACACACACACACACAGGAAACACACCAGTTTTATAGGCAWGTCTTTTTTAACTTGTTCTGAAGCATTTTTCTTATTGTAARAACTCTTCATTTGATGTCACAAAGTTTTGCATGTAAACARTTTTATCCTACTTCTACCTTCATCCACGTTTCACAGGTCTGCTCCAGAGGAGGTCCCAACCTGACAACCGTTTTAGAGGAAATGCAGGATATTTATGTTACACCAGGCTGCATCTTCAGAAGCAGCGCAGCAACATATTATTTATTGCAGTCCTGCAGTCTTTGCCAAAACAACAAATCATTTAAAATAAGAAAAAATAAATAAATACAATAGAAAACAGGCTGTTGCAAAGCAGTTTTTATTCAACTGACAACAGAAACYAAACATTTCCCAGATGCGTTTATTACACACAAGAAAGAGGCTTCCAYCATAACAAAAATAAAATACCTGAAAACTACAAGACACCTAGACGGGGGCGGAGCCAGACGTTTTTGCAAGGTGTGGTCAAGGTGTTATTTAGGAGGGCAAACTAGCCTGGATTTTAAAATTCAAGATGGCCGCTACAGCCAGTTTTAAACATTCAGCTGTTTTAAAATACACTGAGCTAAAATGTTGTGCCACAGTAGCTAAAAATGATGTAAATACGCTGAATACGAGTCACAGTTTCAAGCTAACCGCTAATGCTAATTGTATGGACAGCTGAGATTCACCCTTTGTTACACAAACAAAACTAACAATTAGTGCAATAGTGACTAAAAACAATCTTTATCTAATTTTAAATTAAAAACTACAAACTGGTCATCACAGCTAAATTTAAATGGTTATAATTCAGCCATTTTAAGACTTATTGAGCTGAAATTTGTTGTGGTGTAGCCAGGAATAAATGCTAATCCAATTTAAGCTAAGCTAAAGTTAAATTTACAAAGGACTATGGTTTAGCCATAAAATACACAGTTAAAAATGACATATTAGTAGCAAAGAATAAAATTTAGCTAATCTTTAATCATACATGTTTTAGGTTCCCTCTGCACCAGCTGCTTGACAGATATTTAAATTAAAAAACGTTTGTTTTTGCTCTAACAGATCATCTTCTACAGGTATTGCCACATGCAGTCCCCACCCTCACCTGTGAATCGGTGGCACCTGAGGGGGCTCATCAGGGGCAGGAGTGCCACCTCAGTCCCCCCTCTGGCTCCACCCCTGCCACTAGAAATACCACTGACCTTAAACTACTTATTATACCCTAAGTCCTGAAAGTTTCAGTATGTAAATGAAAAAGAAAAGCTGTCAATATGTATTTTAGCACTAAATTTAGCTTTTCCAACAACTATTTTTTATAAATCTTCTAGTTTTATTTCAGTCAGTGTTTGTAGTAAAAATGCAGCATCGACTCTATTTTCAGATTAAATCCAGCTCAGACTCAAACTGATCCTGAGTTTCTGATAAATCAGGTTTAGTTCAGATTTAACAAAACAGAAAATCTCCAAAATCTAAATAAACCAAACTGCACATACGCTGACTTTAAAATTGTTTCTCAACACGCTTCATTTAATTATAAATCCAATAAGAAAATGARTAATAAAATAGAAAGAGTGGATGAAAATCTGACCTTCCACATCGATAATCTGTTTCTGAACATCAGGCGTCGCCCTGGTTTGTTGTTTTTTTCAGACACATTATCACAAACTGYAACCCTGACAGCAACAAGACGAGCTGCAGCTGCTGGAAGCAGCCGTCACAGCGCCTGCCTCTCCCTGCAGCTCTGTTCATTTTTAAATGATTAAAATCACAAATGATAGGAAATTTTCATCTACTTCCTTATCTTCAGCTACAAAGTTCTCKGAACTTTAGTTGTGTTAACTTCTAAACATCTAGTTTTCCTCAGTTATGGATTTTAAGGTTTCTGTTTTCAAGAACAATAAATYAGGTTTTTATTTCCTGCAGCCATAAAATAAGAGTGATCCCTGAACTGTGTTAGCCTGTCTGTTAGCAAAACATCTCAAACTTCTGGATGGAGTTTTATGATGTTTTCTGAAATAATTAGCGTACAAATCTAACATTTTTACTTTTTGGTTCAACATGGTCATTATAAAAAAAGGATGTCAATGTTCAAATATGAATGTTCAAAAGAATGTCCCAACACAGACGAGCTACATCTAATGGCCAGAACT